CTCTCTCTCTCTCTCTCTCTCTCTCTCTCTCTCTCTCTCTCTCTCTCGCGCACTCATTCTTCCTCGCACTCTGTCTCAATCCTTGCCAATCATACACTCGTTTACAAACATTCGATCTATCACGCTTCCCGATTCGCGCTCTTCAAATATACTTCCATACACACCTGATTACGCGCACTATCTTCGCGACTGGCGCGTAATTCGATCTCACACAATCAAGGCTATAAAAACGATAACACTTTGTAAATCGGCAGAACATTTTGAATAATGTCATTATTAAGAGCACATCGCTGCAATTACGATTGCGACCCCCAGCTCCCTCCCCTCCCCCAGGAACCCTTTAGCAATAACCCATACATCACATGAAAGGGCGTATCGTATCCTATAATACTAAAGAAAAAAAACTTGTCGATGTCAGTAATAATTTCCAAGAAAATAACTTGTAACACTTTACGCGGCTCACCTTGTAGAACGTGACGTAGACGATGAGATCCCCTGCATTAGACACCTGATCCATTGGAACGGTTCTCCAGGCGATGGCAGAGGTAAAACTCATGAAGCCCTGGCGCATAGGCTGCGTCAAATAAATCGGAACGAGCTGGCGGACTGGTTGGGAAAATCTGCATTTACACAATTAGGAAAGGATCTTGGTAGAGCAGTGGTGAAAGCCTTCGACACAATTAGTAAAGAGGAAACGGAACCTTCGTGAGTAAATATTAAGGTGGAGTCCCACTGTTGTAATGTGTTTGTTCGCTGGTAAATTAGGCCGGATTCTATTAAAAAAAAAACGTTCTCCTAGCGTCGCTGATACGAGGACGGACGTTTGAACCACTCGAAAGGGTCGATTTTTACGAGCGTTTAGGTCTCGGACCATGGTCTAGGCTCGCGAACACGGAGACTATTCCACGCGAACCTGAATCGAACGCTCAAAAAAATCGACTCTTTCGAGTGGTTCGAAGCGAGACCCCCAATAATACTTCTTTTCACCGAGACCGTAGGCGCCCAGTCGCCTATCTGGGTTCGCTCAAGGGCCTGGGGTCAAACGGGCGATCGACTCATCAGTTTTTGATAAAATCGAATTCTTTATTCTTCATCGTATCAACGTGAACGCGATGCCATTGGATTCTTGGTGTTCTCCCGATTAAAATGATATCTCACGTCGTGTAAATCGAACTATTTTTAACGAAATAACTTTTCAATTATGCAATCAGATTTTGCATATAATTTCGTTAAAAATAGTCCGATTTACGCGATGTGAGATATCATTTTGATCGTAGAAGCATCAGGAATCAATTGAAGTTACTTCCGCAAAGTTCCGATAAAAATGGTCGACGTTGGTATTTTCAATTCTTCATTACATCCCCTTGTCGACCGCCCGTTGCGATGATGGTGCGTGGACGTTTTCAGGATTCCGTGCTCGTTTAGGTGTTCGCGGCTCGTTGTGCTAGCTCGCTTGAGTCCATCAGACCCTTCTGCGCGAGGAGTTGACACTTTCAAGTGGACGTTGCTCGTGCTCGCCGCCCGAACTTACATACATGGGACCTTACCTTTAGATTATTCTATACATTCGTGCCACTTATTATTCTGCTACTTTGAACTACTTTTGTGTGCCACAATCGATGGCAAAAGTAGTTAAAATTAATTAAAAGTAATTGGAAGACAGTAGTGATTACTTTTTACAATTACTGTCAATGTAACAGCAATTACTTGGAAGTAATTAAAAAAATAATTATACCGTTCAATTACATTTAGGTATTTTTACCTACTTTAGATTTGAGACGCCTTTTAATTACTTTCTGGTCAGTTGTAAGTAATTATTAAAAAGTAATTGAATTACTCAGTAATTAAGAATAAGGTATTGCATAATTACTAAAAACAAAGTAATCAAGAATTACTTACATAATTACTTTCTAATTCCAAAGTAATTATTCCAAATGGTAATACCCGTGTGGAAATTTTGTTAGGGATTCGTAAAGGCCCGAGTTAGTTGTCCCGAATTAATTTCGGGGCCTATTTAGGAAGCCCGTTCAGTTCCCGTAAGGCGGCATAAGGGATTGTCACGCTTTTTTAAACGGTGCTATTAAAGGATGGCTTCTCAGGGCCTTATTATTTCCCGTTTTAATCCCGATTATAGCCCTATCGAACCCCTGAAACACCCTTACAATAGCCCTGGACACACCATCATTGCATGTAAATCAGAAATTAGTACAACTGAAACTATCATTACAACCGAAAGGAAGACTCAAAACTTATGTATTAGCTCTACTCCATGTATAAACGTGCAATTAAATAAAACTATTATCGTTCATTATACTATTATAGTAAAACTTTTACCATCATATTCCTGACATTTTTCTGATTAAAATGAGATCAAACACGATATATTTCGGATGATATTTACCATGCATCTTTTTTTAGTTAGTGTTGTACGAAAATATGATACATAATAAGTTGTTACAAGTCAATATGTTGTGTGTCTTACAATAAAATGTTTCATCGTTGCATTACATTGTTTCACCGACATACCTCGGTGTTTTGCCTATGTTCGACGGGCGTCGGCAAACATCAAAGAATATACGAAACTCGGCGATCGAACTCCTGAACCCCTCAAGAGGTATACCTCCCCCCCCTCCGCCTCAAGAGGTGTGATTGTTATTCGTTTTCCAACATAAACATTATCATTGATTTCTATGATCAATACCCTGAGTAAACGTTTTCAGGTCCTCACAATTCGTTAAGGCCCTATTAAATTTCATTTTAACGGTTTCTCCATACTGTGACTGTACCACACTGGTTCCCATAATGGTTAACCCATCAAGTCCTTGTTTAAAATTATTGTGAAAATACTTGAGTACCTTGTTTGAACCCCACCGGATCTTACAATGATTCACTTATCCAGCGCTGATTATATTTTAAAATGGAAACCTGTAATTGCCTTGTCGGGACTGTTCGGGAAATAAAGGTTGATACGTAAACGAACTCTCCGTTGAAAGGTAAAACGCCAATTTATTGTAAAGCGGCAAGGTCTACAACGATTGATGTCTCTCAGATCGCTCGTGCGTCTTCGAGTTCTACAAATCGAAATCTGATTTCGCTTCGCCGGGTGACAATCGAAGATACCTCGCATCACCACTTTTTACCCTAGGTGCCACCCCTGTCGAGTCCAAGAGGCGCGCTCATTGGCCCTGGTTTTGGAACCAAGGCCTAATCAGGGCGCCCGGCTCTCACGCGCACCCCAGTCGTCGCGCCCCCGCTAACGGTATCGCGGAGCAAGGGTAGATGGTCGTTCGGCGTCTCGCGGAAGGCCCCAGGCCACTCATGGGTTTTTCCAAGCTCACGGTATGCTCGACCCCCGAGGCTCGGGACTACGCGAAATTCTAAAGACCTTGTAAACGGTCACCCCTAGATGGATATTGCCGGCAATATCAGCCATCGACTCGAAACAGCCTCACTTTGCTAGCATGCCGTAAGCTATTGTCACCTTTCGCTGTTTCTCCGCATCGCCCGAGAAAGAATAGAGCCTAAATTCTGCCGATACTCGTGTTCTATAGGGATGTTTAGGGATGTTTTAGGGATGTTAAAGCCAGTTCAGGACCCGAATATTATGGAGGTTTCCCTTACTATTTTCCACACGGGTAAATACAAAAGTAATCATTACTTTACAGTTGTGATATGAAGCTACATATTGATTACTGATGCAATCTACCGACAATTGCAAATGGTTAAGGTAGTTGTTTCGAGATAGTGACGTTTAAAAGTTTAATTGAAAACTTTTGTAAAAGTACAGTCTTACTGTTCTCACACACACCTATAATAAATCAATGAGTATATCTACACATACATTCGTAATGCTAGAGAAATGATTGTAGCGACAACGCTGACTATATTACTGCGCAATTTCTCTACGTTCAGTTCTAGATTTTAAATAATTATATCTCAGTAACGGCGTAGTCAATAGGCGTTACTTTCTTTTAAATGATTTCGGTTTTTATAACATATCAAATTTTCAGCAAGTTCTTCTATTGCATTTTAATTTAAATTGAAAAAATTCACGTGAAAATCTGTATGTTCCATAAGGGTCTGTGTTAAAATTGTAAAAATTTTGATAGCATTTTTCATAAAACTGAGATGGTCAATTTAAATCGAAATAAGCTCGTATGATTCAATTTATTCAAAGAACAATCAAGTGAAATTTTTGTTAATATTCTCCATTAAATAAATCCATGGAACAACTATCTTGAATTTGTACCTCTTCAGTTATAGAACTGATGAAGAATGGTTACTGTAGATCTAATCTAAGCGAACCTAACCATAAAGCAATCTTTATGAACCAGTAACAATTAGAAAAATTTAGAATCATTATTTTATATTTATTGTTAACATTGTAATAATACAATTATTGTTTTAAATATTTCTAAACGCTGTAACAGTTTGTTATTTATGCTGTCTGATAAAATTTTAGCAGAGGCAAACCTGTTCGGTCGCTGATGTGAATTTATTTGAAATAATCGTGTGGTTTATCAACATATTTAAATTCCACTCTCACTTATGCGTATGGTCGAATCAAAAGACCGTTACCATTCTACGTTTATCACTTATCGCAAAAGATAATACTTTATCAATTACAAAATAACAATTAATCTAAACAATCTAAAGCGATGATCGATTTTTTCATGATTACAGTTTTCCGATAACTCTCAAACCCAGCAACGTTTATGAAGAAGAAGAAGATCCTTGGATACAAATCGATATTGTTCTCCTCGCAATTTTACTCGGATTGTTAGGAACCCTGATAACATTGATATGCGCTATGCTATTACACAGAATCAGAGAACACTTTCGGAAATCCAAGTACAGGTACGGTTATTACACGACTTGTATTTTATTACCCTTTTTTAGATTATGTAGCAAATACAGCATACAGTATTTTTTAACAACATTTAGAAAAGCATTTAAATGGACAAATCACTGTAAAAGCACTTTTAAGAAAGATATATTTAGAAAATGTTTATAAAGAAACTATGTGATAAATTGTTTTCAAACTTTCAGTATATTTTATATTGCATATAAACAAATAAAAACCGGTACCATAATGTTATTAGTATGGCGTTATACGGTTCTATTTCGCGCGCAAGTGAGCACTGCAAAAAAACATTAGTGATCAGTGAACAACTTTGTGACCACTGATTACATCTGAAATAAAAAAAAAACTAAAGCTTTTCTTTCACTACATAAATACCTGTGGCTACGACTCGACGCAGGATCTTTCTAGTATCTCAAAGAATAAGAAAATGGCGCGACTTTTATTACACAATTTTAGAATTTAACGGAGAACTGTTATTTTTTTATCAAAAAGATAAAAGAAATTGTTATCAAAAGATAGAAGAAATCAATATTTTTTTAACAGCTTCGTCAGGCCACAGAGACAAGGTTTCTGAAGAGAATATGATTTAAATCATATGGATGGAACTTATTGTATTACTCTCAAAAAGCTGTAAACGAGGTTTGAAAGTATCGCTTAAGATTGTAAACGCTTAAGATTACTCCACACATAACGCTGCAACTCTAGCAACTCTAGAGATTTCTTTTTCAAATTTTGACACAATATTCTTGAAATATTGCTTGACATTCTTTTAAGAAATATAAAAAAAAATTGATTTATAAAAAAATGCTACAGTGGTCTGTCCCTTTAAGTTTAGCGGTCATCGGTGAATGTTTATGTTCTTTCTTGTAGAAAATTAAACCAGAAGGAAACTGGCAGCGAAAACCGAAGAACACAGGAGCAGAAAAACAGGATAATATATAGTACTGAAAGTAGCGATGATATTACTGACACTGCCCACGTAGACAGTGAAACGGAGACAGATTTTCATTAAAATCGGTTCTATTCATCGATTCTCCATTCCTTCGAATATTTTTAAAAATGCTACGTCGATCATTTTACTCCAAGCAGCTTCCACTTCTGGAGAAAATTTCGATTTTAAATCGTTTTTCATCACTTCCATCATCACTCCCTTCAAATCCTGAAATAGGAAGCAATAATAATGTACAATAATGTAACCATATAATATACTATAAATAAAATAAATGAAAGTAAATTTCTAAAATTCTACGTCTAATTAAGTTTTAAGAAAATATATAATATACATACATATCGACATGTATGTATATGTTACTGTATCTAAAAATAATCTAAACACTGACAATGAGTTAGAGTACTAGCCATATGTGTTCTTGAAAAACATATTGAATTATTTAAAATAATTTGATAGCGGCTTAATACAGTCTTCCATATGGGAGCTACATTTATGTGCACATTGTTACATTTATTTATATTAAAATTACGAAAATTCTATTTGTAAAATGATTAAATAACGTTAAGAAAATGAAAAACTGATGAACATGAAAGTTAGAGATGTTCTCAAAAACTGAATCATCCATGACACACCATGAAACACCAAACACCTCTGACCGCAACAACAAAACAAATTGGCGGACATTTGAAAAATTTGATTAGACACTAATGAAGAATTACTTTAGCTATTACTGTATTAAAATACAAATTTTATGAACATTCTTTTTACAATTGTTTTAAATAAATGCTGTATATGTATAGCACGCATATTTTAAAAAACTGAAAATATTGGTAAACATAGACCCATTCGATCTCTTTAATTAACTGTGCGTAAAAATTCTGACATATTAAAATTGAATGAATGAAAATCATTTAAAATTAACGCTGCATCGAATCACGATGTACTATACTTGGAACGAGACGGTTGTATTATAGAAGCTTTGCTTGGACAGACATTATTAGTACCGGACATAGTTCTAAACATCTGAAAAAATTAGAAAATATAGTCTCATTCGTATCCTTTATTTATGTATTTTTAAAAATACTGTCACTTTGAAATTGGCCGAATGAAAATTATTTAAAGATAGCGCAGTCCCATTCTGAACTACTAGAGACGAAGATGTTACTCCTATCATTATTATGTAAAGTATGATTTATTGCAAGGTCTTACAAAAAATAACAAGTTTTAAAAAACTATTAAAAAATTCCTTAAATATGGATGACATGGCAATCAACGTGCTAATTAATCACATAATATAGAATACAGATTTATCCACACAAAATTCAACATTTCAGACTTCTCGAAATTCACACACTTCACAGATGTTTTAAAAGTTACGTAATTTTAAGTAACCTAAAATGAGCGCCGTCCTATCAAAATATTCCGTTTGCTCAGACACTGGGGCTCGAATATGAATGTATTATTCGTGTTCATTCCCATTACTTCATCGGTCCTATTGATTCTTGCGGTGATTGAGAACATTAAACAACGAGTACATTAATCTTGAAGTTTTCAGTACGGCTCACCGCGGATTATCGATATCCATCATCAAATAATAATATAATTTTTTATAGTTACGATACGATTGGAATCGATAAGAACGATAATGAGTTACTGTCCATGATTCGATGTACATATTTAAAGCACGTCAATTTTTCGTTACACTAAAGTAATCAAAAGTCTTATAAAAAATAATCAATAATGCACATATTGATAGTTTATACACTTTAACAAATTAATTTAATATTTTTAAAACTGTTTTTTAAACCCTCTTTAGAAGAATCCAGTTAATTATTATATTAAATATTTCCCTAATTTGATACTGTTAGTTACTTATTTCTAAAGAGGATCTAAAAACAATGGTTTGAAATACTAAAAAGTATTTCATTCAAGAAAACTTTCCAATTCTGCACGAATTACTTATTATTAGACTGCGGAAGTTTATGCACGATAAATATGTAACATGCATATGCAAAATATGCACGAAAAATTTGAATAAAATGTAGTATAGTAAGTAATATATTAGTATGTTACAGAATATTCGCTATGTACACATATATAAAATACTTTTCACAATTATTCTGGTATATTATAATTCACGTGACAATAAATTATGAGCATTTTTTCCAAGTTTAATGGTGTTAGTTGGTGGCGTTTGTCTGTAAAAATTAATTTACACGCGGAGAACGATCGCTCTACGTCACACGAAGTAATCGGTGCGTATTTAAATTTAGAACAACATTGTTCCGGCACACTTATTGGTCCTTGAATTCCCTCGTTATTTAAAATATTAGAAATTTTCGATAATGTAGAAAATCCTTCTTTTACATTTTTTTTCTAATCTTTTCACCGCAATCACCAGGAATACTTTTTAGATGTATTATACTATTCATATGCTCTTCTGTTTCACATGAATTACCCAGTTTCTTCGATTTTCCTCTTGTGTGTACCGGAATTTATGTATTGGTTTAAATGCGATTTACTTTCACACTTCACATTTTTATTCCAAATTTTGCAATGAATGATTCTGTCATCGTTATTATTATCGTTAATAACAAAATTGGAATCGTTTTTTATCTAATTTACCATCAATGCTTTTCTACTTTTTTTAACTTTTGGCATTTTTAGAAAATTAAAAGACACTTAAATATATCCACTTCTTCACAGAGATCATATTAATTGCGATAATTGAACTGAAGTGTTCGAATTCGAAATACAAACTGTCACACCTAACGGTCGATTAGCAACACAAGGTTACAGAAATATGATATCATATGGCCTGTATTTGTGTAAGCACTACACAATTATGATACGAAAGTATGGTGATAGACGAAACTAATTTGTCGAGATAGATATTTCACATAAGCACGATGAATAACATATGCAATATATTATTGCATATATTTTTAAACATAAATATCCAAAATATGCAACATCAAAAATATATTTTTATTGCACTCTAATTTCAAAACAAATTTCTGTCTACGTCCCATTCTTTTAACTATTTCCTATAAAAATATGCATTTGCATAAACTTCCGCATTCTACTTATTATTAATATCACCTATTAATGAAATCGTTTATTATTTGAACATTATTGTGCATTTCATTAGTGAACCCGTCGATGAAACTGAGCCAAGAAAATTCGCCATTGGCATAACAGATTGTTGTGTTTGATATACATGTTAAGAGATGCTAGCTTATCGGATTCACGGTAACTTCACATGTAAAATAAAACAAAATTGACTGGACTGATGGAATTCGTGACTCGGAAATATACTTAGCACTTGTTGAATTATTACGAAGCACATGCGCACGCGACAGAAACGATAGACTCCCGCTGGCCGAATCCTAAATGGAAGTGACCGGACTCGCACTGCGTAACACGCGACAGTTATCAGCAAAATCACGAACACACCTTAATTGTGGCCAGAAACCAACACAATGAATTCGTTAATTCGTCGGAGGTAAACCAACAGATATTATAGATAGAGTAGGGGAGCCAGACCTTCGGCTACTACAGCCAAGTAAAGGGAGAAAACCACAGAATTCTACCTGTCTCTGTCTACCATCGCATTTTTACGACATTTTTATGTTGACGACAAATAGTTATCGTTTATGCTATTAATAGTTACATACAAAAATGTTTTTATACTCTATCTGAATAATATTATTAATAGAAGAAACAACTTTGTTATATAGACTTTGAAAAAAATTCGTAACTTGTACTCATCATCTTGAAGAATATTGGCACATATGTAGGTGTATGTACATTTTTTTTTTATATTATTTATTTATACAGGTCGCATTAACATCAAGGTCATCAGCGATCACAAACATTGAACATATCTAAATTATAATTTTACATTATTGTACTTGAGTGTAATTGTAAATACATAGAGTATAGAACTATATGAAATTGTTTTGAACATAATTACAAAGTGTGATATACATTTATGTTTTTGAGGAATAATAAAACCTCGGTTATGTTTTTGTCATTATTGAGACATACATTTAAACTGTTGGGGATAGCCGTCTTTGCGAGGAATAAAGAGGACATTGTAGGAGGAGGTGTTCAACCGAGAGTGGAGTATTACATTGAGAACATAAAGAAGGGGGATTTTGCAAAATCTTGTGTAGGTGGGTGAGATTGGTATGTCCTATGCGGAGTCGAGTGATGACTACCTGATCTCTTCTATTTTCTATAGGGGGACAGTCAGATTAAGAAGGTCTTACCTTACCAAGTATAAACCAGAGGAAGGGGAACTAGTCCACCTTGTATTCCATACTTCTCTAATTAATCTTTTAATTTGTTTGGTCAAATCTTTGTGAGAGGAGGATCGGTTTAAAGGAATTTCTTTAATAGCCTCCTTAGCTGCAACATCCGCGGTTTCATTACCTAGTATCCCTACATGAGAGGGAATCCAGGAAAAAATGACTTTTTCATTAAAATTTTTGGCATTTATTAAGGCGTTGAAAATGTGGATAATAATGGGATCTTGGTTTCCGGGATTAGCTAAACTTTCCAAGACACTGGCGGAATCGGTGAAAATTATAAATTTTGTATCTCGAACAGAAATAATAAACTCAACCGCCTGTAAAATAGCAAATGCTTCACAGAAAAACACAGAGCAGAAGTCGTGTAGTTTGAACAATTTTCGAAAATTAGGGAACACAATAGAACCTCCACATCCCTCATTAGATTTAGAGCCATCAGTGAAAACATGTATATAATTTTCATACTTTTGGGTGATCTTGCGGAAAATATTTTAGAAGACAATAGGATTAGTGTTATCTTTCAGAAATTTATATAATGATGAATCAATTTTGGGAGAGGGGATAGACCAAGGAGGTTCGGTTAATGAAACAAACGGAAAGAAAGGGGGGAAGGATTTAATAGTGTTGCTAACATAAGACTTTAAACGATGAGAAAGAGGTCTAGGGAAGTTAGAGAGAGAGAGGAGGAGTAGAGGTGATAAAAGTGGTTCATGAAAACCTTAGAGTATGTAGGATTAGTGGCAATCGATTTCAATTTCGAAGCATAAGTTAGACAGAGTTGTTTTCTCCTTAAATCTAACGGGATAACCTTACTTTCGGCCAGGATACTACGCATAGGACTAATTTTGAAAGCACCCAACGCGAGCCTCAGCCCCGTGTTTTGGATAGAGT